GGCTTGGAGCACATTCCATGTGCAAGGTCTCTCCCTGCTGGGCACTCCATGGATTGTCCTGGAATTCTCAGGGACTCCAACAAATATCCAGCTGCTCCTACAACAACCGGTGGCCAGGAAACACCTGAGAGTCTTTTTAGATTTAGTTTATCCACAGGAAATAGAAGAGCATTTCTTAGAGGAAAACAACATTTCTGAGAGGAAAATAAAGGTGTGTTTAAATATATTATAATTAGTGGTTATCATTCCACGGGCAAGGAATTTAAGTGCTCCTTAAGTGCTCCCAAAAAATCCTGTAATTCAGAATTCTCTATTACAGAACTTGTACTTCACAATTTGTCTTTTAGAATTCTGGATTTCACCATTTGTATTTCAGAATTCTGGATTTCCCAATTTGGCTTTCAGGATTCTCTGTGTTTCCAACAAATATCCAGCTGTTCCTACAACAACTGGTGTCCAGGAAACACCTGAGAGTCATTTTAGATTTAGTTTATCCACAGGAAATAGAAGAGCATTTCTTAGAGGAAAATAACATTTCTGAAAGGAAAATAAAGGTGTGTTTAAATACATTGTAATTAGTAGTTATTATTCCACAGAGAAGGAATTTAAGTGCTCCTTAAATGCTCCCAAATAGATCTGTCTTTCAGAATTCCATATTGCAGAATTTCTATTTCAGAACTTGTACTGCAGAATTTATATTTCAAAATTTGTAGTTCAGAGTCTGTATTTCACAATCTGTATTTCAGGATTCTGGATTTCCAATAAATATCCAGCTGTTCCTACAACAATTGGTGGCCAGGAAGAGAATAATTTTATGTTTAGTTTTTCCACAGAAAATATAAGAGCATTTCTAACAGGAAAATGAAAGACAAAGTGTGTTTAAATACATTATAATTAGCAGTTACTATTACACGGAAAAGGAATTTAGGTGCTCCTTAAATATTCCTTCAGCTCCTCTCCCACTTTATTCAAGTGTATCTTGATTTCTTGAGAATGAATTCTTGATATTCGAGTATATCAAATATATCAAGTACGTAAAATATATCAAGCTATCAAATCTCTCTTTCCCACTGACTCGATTTACAGGCAGTGATTTTAGGTCATATCCAATTTTACCCTGATATAATAAATTCCTCGCTATAATAAATTCCTTGCCATAATAAATTCCTTCCTTCTGACCAAAACCTTGTCAGAAGGTGTGTGTATCCCTACAAATAGCTGATTACACACCCTGTGCAAAGAAAACAGCAGGACTGTGACATTTTATGGAAAAAACGAGAGTTACCTTTGGGGCAATTTCAGCTGAAGTTAACAGTGAGTTTTAACACCGTGTCAATTTTCAGTTCTTTTCTGGCCTATTTTTTTGCACGGGCCTGGAGGGACAGGACACAGAGAATGGATTCCCCCAGGGTTAGATGGATATCGGGAAGGAATTCCCGGCTGGGAGGGTGGGCAGGCTCTGGCCCAGGTTGGGCAGAGAAGCTGTGGCTGCCCCTGGATCCTGGGAGTGTTCCCGACCCCAGAGCTCTCAGCGAAGGCTCTGAGGGACACGGTGGGACTGCTGGGAGTGTGCAGGGGCAGGTGTTGGACTCGTTGGTCCCTGTGTGTCCTTTT